TTTTTTTTTTTTTTTTTTTTTAAATCGTTTTGGAATAAAACCTAGGAAAACAACATCCCCGACGTTACTTAAATTGGTTGCTAATTTACTTGAATGTAATTTTCTTTTTTATTTTACAGCTGTTTTAAAGCAGATTAGGTACTCTCTGGGAAACTAACATGAGAATTGGAAAATCCTCATTTTAGTGTTTCCTTTTGATTCAGTTCCTTCAGGCTGTTCTTGAGGACAGAATCCTTCATGTGGGTCTCTGTCTTCTTTCTGTTTGTGCTTCACCCAGTCCCAAACCTCTTAGCATGTAGAAACATAGACACTAAGTAGCTAGAAAACATTTGTTGAACCAACCTATAGTAGTTACTTATTGTGACAAAATAAGCTGACAAAAGCAATTTAAGGAATGAAGGATTCCTTTTGGCTCCTGGTTTCTGGGCGTGAGGTAGGTCACATTGGGCGGAGAGATGAAAGCTGGTGCTCTGCTTGTCTTTTCTTTTTGTCCAGTCTGGGACCTCAGCGCATAGGATGGTGCCACCCACGTTCAGCATGTTTTTTTCTTAGCTTAACACTTTTGGAAAACACCCTCATAACATACCCACCAGGATGTGTCCATGGTGATTCTAAATCCAGTGAAGTTTCAGTAAAGATGAACTGTTAACCCTTCATGCATGCTCCTATAAGCAACTGTAATGAAATCCTTTGAGACACACAAAAGTAGAAAAGGAGGGGACCAGTTAGGAAGATTAAGGGGATCAGCAAGAGTGAGAAAGGGGGCCATAGAGGGTAATGGGGGTATGATCACAATACGTCCTATACATGCACAGAAATGTCATGATGAAACCTGTTATTATGTATAATTTGTATGTGCTAATAAAAAAAATATTAACCACCACACAGCTTAAACTTGTGTAGTTAAATACTCAAGGTTGATCTTTAGTTAATGAGAAAAAAATGCTTCCTTGGCCCAGTGAGATGCCTTAGCAGGTAAAGGCACTTGTTGCCAAGCCTGATGATCCTTGGGACCCATCTGGTAGAAGCTTATATCCTCAGAAACTCTAACCTTCCACACACACTGTGGCATGTATACTCGAACATGTGCACACACACAAATGTAATTTTTTTTTTTTTTTTTTTTTGGTCTTTTTGAGACAGGGTCTCCCTCTAGCCCCAGCTCTCCTGGAACTCATTATGTATACCAGGCTGGCCTTGAACTCACAGAGATCTGCCTGCCTCTGCCTCCCAAGTGCTGGGACTACAGGCGTGCACCACCACGCCCGGCTAACAAATGTAATTTTTTAAAAAAACAGAAAAAGCTTATTTAGTATTGTACTGCCTGCCTGTCATTGTTAAGGGTGGTATGTGCTTGTGTCACATAATTTTAGGGTTTGTTTTTAAAGTACCCTTTATATTTTCATACCATTTTTTGTTTTCTTGTTATTTCTCATTTGTCGTTCAGGGTGTTCAGAGTGGGTCATGCCATGTTTTCTGTTTCAGCATTTATTGAAGCAATTCAGATAGTCTTAAAGCCCTTTCTAGGCACTAATCCACTGTATTTTCCTTTTCAATTTCATGGTCCCTCAGCAGTTTTTTTGACAAATATATTGTGTGCTTATATGTGTTGTGCGTTATTCTAAATTGATTTAATAGTGAAAACCACCCTTTGATGTGTAACTCCCATTTTACTGATGAGAAACTGATCAGAAAATGCAGCTAGTGATGAAGAGGCTAAGATTTGTTCCCTGACAACATGACTCAGCGTGCCCTCAAACCAGTATCTGCATTCTGCATTCTATGAAGCCCTGTATGAATCACACCCTAGGGAGTTTTCTAAAGTGAAATGAATGCTTCTGGAATACCTCAGCACAGAGCCAGCCATTCATCTTTAATTTTGGTGGAAATGTGGAGTAAATGTTGGCAGTAACAAGATGTAATAGAGTCTCATCACATGCCAAATCTTGGGTATGACCCTTAGCCTACTAGTTTGTTGGTATTTACGAATTGTCTTTTTAAATTACCATTAGTTCCTGTTGGTCACAATAGGTATTTGCAGGGTGCTCTGTTGAAAGTCAAGCTAGATACAGACTTGATCTGCTTAGGTAGTTTTATACCTGGGACTAACAAATGTAAGATTTTAAGATCTCAGTGATTGTTCACAAGATACCAATATTCCGGTAGTATTGTGCCATTCAAGATGGTAGTTTAGGACTGGCGATGTAGCTCATTGGTGGAGATGTGTCCCCAACACTTTAAAAATCCACAAAAAGCCAAAAACAAATGAATCCCAGTACTTGGGAGGCAGAGACAAGCAAGTCTCTGAGTTTGAAGCTAGCATGTTCTACCTAGTGAGTGCTACGCCAGCCAGGGCTGCATAGTGAGACCCTGTCTCAATAAAAAACTAAAGGCAGTTTGATAAAACAGTATTTAGTTGGGAGTATTAAAATCCTCAAGAAGACTTGAGTTTTCAACTTCTATTTTAAAATTTTTCTTCAGGTATTTCTTTAAATATGGAGCAGTGGAGCCAGCTGAAGGAACAGATTTCTGACATTGATGATGCAGTAAGAAAACTGTAAAATCTGAGCCATATCAAACTTGTACTGTTCTAGTTGTTTTACTCTGTCTTTTTACATTGGCTTTTGTTTTCTAAATGTTGTTTTCCAAGCTGTTGTATATTTGGATTGCAGAACAATTTGTAAGATGAATACTTTTTTTTAATGTGCATTATTAAAAATATTCTGAGTTAAGCTAATTGTCAACTTTATTAAAGAGGATTGCTTTGTTGCCTCTCCCCCACCTAGTGTAAAATAAAATCAGATCAATACAATCTTAGCTGTTGTAGCCTTTTTTGATCAAAACACTAGTTACTGTTTGAGGCCAAAAGAACAACTTTTATAGTTTGAATTCAGCCTTTCCAGTAAAAAGAATTTGTATTGCTTTTTGAAATGCATACTTGATCTCTCCTTCCCAACCAAATGTCTAAACTTGTTTGAATTTTCCACCCCAGCATTTCTTTTTTCAATAGTATTTCACTTTCCTTTTTCTTCATTTTTAATAATAATCATTTTATGTTCAATTTTACACCACTTTTTGTTTTTTTTTCTTTCACCACTCTTTACTCTTGAATATATAATGCTGATTTGGAAAGTCAAACTGTTATTATCTAAATCTACTGTGTTAAATATTACCAGATACCTGTTTGGTAACTAACATGGCTTGTATGAAAACTCCAAGCTAGTGTGTGTCACTATTCATAGTGCTCTGTGTAGGTATTGCTTAGTCTACAGAAAATAATGATGTAGATGTCTGGTTCACTTATGCTTGATAAACATGTTCACAATGGGATGGTGTTTGTAAAATCAAATATTTTTAAACTAGATTAGAATGTAGTACAAATTGTGAAAGCTAACTGACCCAATATTATTTTATAGTACCGAGTTTGGATTATGGGTAGCCAGAGATGTCACTGAGCTTTACTGTCATAGTAGGTTATGCGGCCAGTTTTTAGAATTGGCTTTTTGTAATTAATCTACTAGACAATAGCATTCTGGAGTTGATGTGACTAAGTTTAATAGACACTATTAGTTGGGTTTCATTTTAACCATGATGAAGCTCAGGCATACTGAGGCACAGATTTCGGTGATGTTGCAGCAATAAATAGAGCATGGTATGCCTTAGAAAAAGAATGCTTGTAAAGAAGACCGTTACTACAGTGAAGGAAGGTAGTCTATGAAGATGAAGTAGTTTTCTTGAAACTAAATGGTATATACATGCTATTTTGGTGACATTAAGACAGTTGTAGGTAGAATAATAAAGATGGTTTTAAGACATGTAAAAATATTAATATACTAACTGCCACTAAGTGCTGCTGTATCAGAATTGCACTCTTGCTACCAGCTTCCACTATCTAAAGCATTTTGTAGAATTGTCAAGGATTTAATTTAAAAACTGTCTGCTGGGCCTTATCAGTTGCCTTTTTTTCCTCCTGGTAGCTGTTCTTTTGTGTTTTATATTCTTTAGATAAGTTGTTTGTGAGTTTAGTATTTGAAAATTTATAAAGGTATCTCATGTCTTGTGCTTGACTAATCGTTCTTGAAGGATACCCCTCTCCCGACCGCCTTCTTACTTGGTAACTTGTGTTCCATTTTGTTAACTTAGTTTTGTAAAATATTCCTTACTTTTGGCATTTAGAAAGGGTAGTTAGAACACAAAACCTGGTTTTTGGTGTAGATGAAGAGGGAAGGATGATGAATTTCATAGGTTATATGAATTCAGAGGGTGGTAGGCATTTCAGTCATCTGCTTTACAGAGACGGTGCTATCATGTATTACCTAGGCATTGACTAGCTGCTTAGTATAATAAAATACCCATATAAAGAGTTTTCTCTGGCATAGTTTGGTAAGTTGACAGCTAAATTCATTTAATTATGTCACAGGGCAGGTAGTATACAGAGCTATTTCTCTTTTTGTTTGTAGAAAAGGATGAGAACTGGGTTAAAAGAAAGACTCAAACTGAAAAGAGGTTACAGCACATCTGTTTTGTGTTCAGATTTCTGTATCTTTAGTAACAGTCTTAGTTTCTTTTCTGTTGCTGTGATAAAATATCCTGACAGAAGCACTGTAGGGAGAAAGGATTACTCCGCTTACAGTTCCAGGTTTGAGTCCATCATTGCAGGGATGACGGCACAGTGGCAGGAGCTCCCGGTAGCTCAGGCAAGAAGCAGAGAGCAGTGAGTGTGCTCAGTTCTCTCTCCTTTTCACTCAGTCTTGGACTCAGGCTGTGAATAGTGCCATCCACAAATGGTGGGTCTTCCCACCTCAAAGTTGTCAAGATAATCCTCCACAGGCATGCTTAGAAGCCCATCGCCCAGCTGATTCTAGAGTTTGTCAAGTTGACAATTAGCACTAACCATCACAGTAAGATTTCTCCCACAGGGACAGTTTGACATCTTGAGGCATAACTTTCTTGTATTTTGTAATGCCAAAATGATTTAGTTAATACCAGTATTCAGGTTTTGCTGTTTAATATGTTCAGTAACAAGGCTTTTGAATGGGTTTTCTCTTTGTCTTTTAAAGTTTGAACAGCTCAATTTCTAATATCCTTGGCATTTTGTTTAAAGAATAATCAGCTAGAAAACTAAATTCTTTTGCTTCATAAATGTGTAAGAACTTTTAAGTAATGCTTCTATCCTCATTAGCTAGTCAAGATGCTATGATAGGGGCTGAAGAGATGGCTCTGTGGTTGAGAGTACTTGCTGCTCTTCCAGAGGACCCAGGTTTGGTTCCCAGCACTCATGTCGGGCAGCTCACAATTGTCTGTAACTCCAGCTCCAGGGGATCTGATGCCCTCATCTATACATAGGAAAATAAAAAAGACTAGCCTGAAAAAGATACATTTAAGAAAAAGATGTGATCTGTTCTGCATACTATCTTTAGAAACAAAAACTTAGGGAAAACAGTGGAAGAAGATACATCCTGGCTTGGCTACTGAGGGAAAGGAAGAATTGAATATTATGTAAGTGTTCCTGACAGGTGTGTTAGAGTACTTACCATAAAAGCTTGAAAACTTAAAGCACTGTTGAGTTATATTTAGGTATCTCCTAAAGTGTTTTTGTGGAAATTAATAGAGTGAAACACTCAATTTTTTTAAGGGAAAGTGCTTTTCCCAGATAAACTCTAGTGTAAACATGCATATATAGTAAGAAGTACGTAATTCTGTAATTGTGGAATGCCTGTATGCTTTGCTTAGTACATCTTCCATGGAGATGTCAATGACTCTTAATACTTCACCTGTGAATATTTTAAATGTTGAAATAAAAATAAGACATGTACCCTTTGTGTTTTCCCATTTTCACAGTCTTGATTTTTTTTTTTTTTAACCTGTTGAATGGGTTTAACACACCTTTTTCTGTGCGAATGCTCTTGAGTCTCAGCTTTAGAATTAATTCAGAAGACCTTTGGAACTTGGTGGTGTGGGCCTGTTTTTCCATCTACTTGATCCAAATGGGAAAGAAAATGCAAATACAGGACTGGACAGATGGCTCAGTGGTTAAGAGCACATACTGCTCTTCCAAAGGACCTGAGTTCAATTCCTGGCACCCACATCAAGCAGCTCACAGCAGCCTGTAACTCCAAAACTGCACTTGGCTATGTGCTTGTTTGTGCGTGGCACACGCGTGCACACACAAATAAAAATAAAAACTTTAAATATAAACTTGAAAGTGTACACAGCATCTTTTTTTCAACCCTGTAAGTGCTTTGCAGTGTACATTTGTGTACCTCACTGTTTAGAGAATTCCTTTTAGTATTTAGTATTTCAGACTTAACATTTTCATTTATAAAATCTCTATTTTTATCATTGTTAATTTGTATATATATTTATATCTAAATTTCTGTTTAAGAACTTGCATAGAGATAAAAAGGTCCATGGAAAAGAATATGACTTTTATTCCACATTCAATCTTAGATTTTAGTAAAACATGGACTTGAAAGTCCAGTCAGAAGAAAAAAAGTGTACATGAAATTTATATAGTATGACTCAAAGAACTTAAGGGGCATAAAAGGGGTTTTGAAAACGGAACACAAAAAGTTGCAGGGACTTACTATGTAACAGTCAGTCTATTGACATCATTTAGGTAAACAATCTTGCCACACAAGACCATATCTCCTCTTCTGCTTTATGTAAATTCCTAGATTAATAGTGACCCTGCTTGTCCCTAAATGAAATAATCGTCTCCTTGTTTTAGCCTCCTTAGAGTTTGTTACTTGCTAGGGTTTGGGTTCTGTTGGTTAAAGAATTAGAGGCAAAGAAAAGTTCAAAGCAAAAATTTATTGTCAAACAGTGTAGACTTGGAATGGAGAGGGGTCCCAGGGCTGGGAAACTACCAGCTCTTAGGAGGGTCTGAATTTTTATTAGGGTTTAAGTAGCCCTTCTTGCTGACTCCCTTTTTCCTTCATTAGTCCTAAGGGGTTCAAAACCCTTTCTGGTGCAGGGATTTGGTCCCCTGCTTGCCTGTGCATTGCTGCTCATCTGGTAAGGTCTGTGTTGTGGCCCTCTCCCCTTGGCGCATGAGCAAGGAATCAGCTGCAATAGTTCTTTGTGCGTAGGTAGTGACACCACTGCTGGTTGGGATTATGGTGGGGTCCCCAACCCCCTTCTGTGGTATAGTGCGGTAAGAAACTGCGGGTGAAGGGAAATGACCTACTTTCCTTTCCCCCTTAATTTGTTTTCCCTGGAGCCCATGGCTTCAAGATCACATGGTTTCTCTTTTCCTTAGACAGTAGTTAGGTGCTGAAATACATCACTTCCTCTAATTCTGACAAAAATGCCTATATTCAATTTTAACTAGGTATATAACAGTAACCTCGGTTTCTGAATGAATGTACAAAGTATTTCTACGATCAAAGCGTAGAACTCATCTAAAATTGTGTGCAGTAACTCCATTGTATCTTAGAAAGTAGTATGAAGTTCCAGTTTCACCTTGTCCTATTTAAGATGGAGTCAGCTTAGTTATTTTTCTTCTGTTGCTCTGATAAAATAACTGACAAAGACCAGGGAGAAAGGGTTTATTTTTATTTTCGTCTTAGTTTCAGAGGCCCATCATGGTGGGGAAGACATGGCAACAGACAGGGAAGATGCAGGGCCGGGGGTAGGAAGTGGACTCATCACATTGTATTCACACTCAGGAAGCAAAGTGGGTACAGCAAGTGGGCCAGGCTATAAAATAATGGGAAGGTGGTTTAGGTGGGGAGAAGGGAGTATAGGGCAGAAGAGGCAGTGGGCTGAGGGATGACTAACTGGATGTTTTATAAAGCTGTGTGGGGTGCTGGAGA